AACTCTCCTTGATGTTAAAATTTGTCATCTCATTAAAATTTGGAATTGAATCTCTTAAACTGTAATGAATACTAACAGGAAATAAACTTCCTAATCAGCTGAAATAATAATATAGCAGATGCTATGGTAATATCACTGAGGTTCTGTTACACTTTATTTCTTACTGTACTTAACCTTAATTCCTGGCTGAAACACAAGATTTGATTTCTTCGGGAAGTTTTACATAAAGCTAAAGTACAGGGATATAGTATATGCAGTCCTGATAATTCTGTGTAAATAAATTTCAGTCATTTTTTAAAAATTAGATGTTCCACAGTTTTTTAGTAAAAGAAGTATTCATGCAAACAACAAAGTTCATAAGCGGTAAGGAACACTGAAATGTATCTGTAATAAAACAATATTAAAGAAATACAATTTTAGTATTCTTCAGGCTGTTTCCTGCCTTTGCAGCTGGTACACATTTAAAATTCATTGTAAGATCTCAGTATAATTCAAATGGCTATATTTGTGTTCAGAGGACTAAGTTGTGGGTAGAAGTAATACCCACAAAATACTGTACCAAAATAGTTGAAAAAATCAGATAACTGCAAGTTGAGAACAGTTACTGAGAGCTTAATTAGATGTTTATTAGTTCGACAGTCTCTGAAAAATAAAAGTTCATAACAGTACAGTTAAGGTGATGCTAGTGATTTGAGAGAAAAGAGGAGTATTAAGGTGGTGAGCTTTGAAGGAGAAGAGAGAAATAAGTAATTCATAGCTTGTGGAAACAGGAAAAGTTAGTGGGAGCCATTATAGGATGCTATAAAACCAATTCCTTCCACTGAATCTTTGCTCTTGCACACACCTCTGAATCTCTAGGCTGCCTAGATTAGCACTCTCGCCTGAGTTACTGTTAAAACAGAAATCTGCAGTCTGTAATAGGTTCTTGCAGCTGACATCTCTCTTATATCTGGGCTAATGACTGAGTGAGACCCGGGGCTGTTTTTCAGATCCCACTGTGGTACCTCGAACCCACAATGCTAAGCTTGGGTGGACGGTTCCTGCCATTGAAAGGCCTCTGAGTGAGTCTTCTTACCTGCCATAGCTACCTGTGGATGTTTCTAGGCTGTTCAAGTTGCCTTGTACTCTGCAGCTGTCTGGAGACACCAGCTGCTCTAGCAGGTCCCCGGGTCACCTGCCTACTGCCTCTTTTCCTTTCTCTAGGCAGGCAAAATCAGATATGGGTAATGTTAGTAATGCAAATACACCATATTTATGTCTGATCATCAGTGGTAGCCTGATGTACTAATGCAAACACTGAAAATAGAAAAGAGTGATTATGATCCACATGTGCTAAATTACACACTTTGTCTATGATAATTTACCTCTGCCTTACCTTTTTATCACAGAGTGAATCTAACACCTTTGTTTCTTTGTTGATACGTGAGTTGTTTGATGTCCTGACTTGGTTAGGAAAACATTTCATTCCTTTCTGGGTAAATGCACATGTAGTGGTTACTCACAACAAACTGTTTTCTGAAAGCTGTTTTAACCTTCTCTCTGAAGTGTCTTTCATGAAAGCCTTTTCATTTGAGCGACATTTCCGCATATGGAAAAGTGGTAAAGGAGAATCCCTTCCAGTCTCCTTGGCAGCGTTGACTTGGGTGGCCACTGTAACGTAAGAAAGAAGCAGGTTTCACTCTAAATCCCAGACTGATGCTTCTTTCATCGTTATCTATTTTACATCCGGGCTGCACACCCCTTCCTGCCTGACTTTCTTCCTCTGGCTCCGGTATTATATCCTTAGACAGGCACCAGCTCATCTAAGCCTCTCATGGCTCCATACCTCCACATATTTTTCCAGGTCTCGTCCAAGTCCTTTCCTCAGGCTCCTTTTATTTGTCGTAGCCATACCGTCCTCTGCAGGCCCTACTGAGGCTCCTGTGGGTCAAATCTGTTTGTGTAGTAGCTGCTGCAGATGGGTCCTTTCTTTCTTTGTGTTAAGGGGCACATAATGACCTGTTACTCCATCTTTTGTTGGGTTTTTGTATGGCAACTCAAAGAAAGCCTTCCAGATATACAGGACTGTGCTTAGTGTACAGCCTGGATTAAAGGCGAAGCACATCTTGGTGAAGGCTATTAAGGAAGTTAGAATTGAAGCCTCAAGAGCCTGAGTCATTCTCTCTGTGCTAGCAATGAGGAGAGAGAGCAAAGGAGAGAGCGAGTAGGAGCTACTTTACTGGATCTATACTGAGATAGGCTTTTCTTGGTGATCTTTGAGTGGTTGACAGGGCTAGTGTCAGGGCCGCTTTTAACAACAGCCCAATACAAAGCAACGTTAATGTAGAGATAAAGCTGGGCCACTGTCTCTTTCAAGACTGAAACTATAAACTATGTAGGCCTTTGGACTGATGTTCTTGTTGAAGATGAAACAAATAAATAGAACAGCTATAAGGTTAGAGAGCAGAAGCTTTAAAAGAAACACTCAACATTTGTTCTTTAAAAGAAGCTTGACAACTGTGGTGCCTTTGTATCAGCAAGATAATTACGTTTTATAAAATGAATTGCAGGCCTATCCCTTTCTTTTCTCGTGTGTTCCACATCCATTTTACCATTGCTTGATTCATTTTACAGCAAGTGTGTGTCATCACTAAAGAGGATTGTGCCTGAGCTCTTAACATAATCTTACCTTTCTTCTGAGTCAATATCTTCTAAGGTTTGCTTGTTCAGATGTTTGAATTCAGACTTTTTAGTAATACTATATGCAGCCATTATATTAAGTACGTTACTGTGAATCACATTTGTTACGGGTACTCGTTATGGCTGTCATGTGGTGAAACTAAACAGATTTGCAAAATAATTCAGGTGTATCTCCAATGTCACTTTATTCTCAATATAACATTTTCTGGAAAAAAGTTCCCCATCTTAAAATGCATTTCGTTGTAATGAGTTTCTGAAAAGTTGTCTGTATATCTTATACTAATACTTCTGTACGAATACCATTGATTTTATTAGATTTTATTAGATGTAAAAGAGATCAAAACTCAGCTGTGGAATGAAGCTTTAATGAAAGGAGATGTAATAATGTCGGTGACCTCCAGAAACGTATAACATGCATTCTTTTCTATGTATAAAATACACTTGCATCTTGTTACAGCCAGATTCTCTTGCCTATGTCTATGTTTAAGTTCAGGTAAAGTGGGTAGGGGAACAATCAGGTAGGGAACAATCTGTTGTTCTTTCGAATTACTAGAAGGAAGAGAGCCAGATGGCTTAAAGGTGGCCAGGTGGCTTAAGGGATCTCACTTTGGCTCCCGCTTTCACTTTAAAAGATCTCAATTTCTCTCCATCCTTAAAGTTACTGGAGAACAGTTATTAATGAAACTGAGATATATTTCTCCTGCGATCTTTATATAAGTCCGCAAATGAGAAGAATTTGCTATGGAAACATACCTCAAAATGTAATTTCTGTTGTCTGTACTTTCAGAGTTAGATGGGAATTCATACTAGAGAAATGTTTAAAATATTTATCAAGTGGATGTGAGCTTACTGTGTTCACCCTTTGCATCAGCTGGTTCAATCCAGGTAGCTGTGATAAGCATAGTGCTGACAGGCAGAGCTTGGATTCAGTACCTGACATGCCTGTGCAGTTTCTTGGCAGCTCTGAGAACGGACAGAGTGAGTTTGTGCCCGCCTGTAAAATACCACATGAACAAGGAAACTTGTTATCCCACAAAGATCTGGAATCTGTAAAAGAATAACGGAACAAATTAGATTATATGGTAAATGGTCTATTCATTTAAGTAAAGTGATGCTATAATTCTCTTAATTTATTTCATAGAGAAAATTAATTACTTTTAATTGAATCATAAAAAAATACAACAGCTTATATGATGGATAAGTCCAATTTATTTCTGCCTGGAGATTCAAAACATTGTTTTACAGAATAATGATATTTTGTTTTGTCAGAAACCCTTAAGCACATAGGCATATGAGGAAGTTTGGCTTTCATTTTTAAAAAATATCAAACTCATATAACCTTCTGTGGTGATTTTTTAAGATTTGCATTTAAAAAAGTTGGCTTGGACTATTGAAATTGCCTAGACAGCATAAAAATGAAAATGAATTTAAAAGGTTGAGAATTACCAAAGAGTTTGGGAACACGAAATCCCAAACTGCAACTGAAGTTTCTAAGATTTCGGAATAATCCTATGAATTTTCCTTTCAGAAATTCAGAAAATAACGTATATATCGATACCTGAGGTCTTTACGCAGGTCTTTCCTTTGTATCAAAAAGGTTTCTCACAGAAAGAAGGGGAGCGTTCTGTCCTTTAATAAGGATGATGCAGGGAAGGAATTCGGGTTGCCACTCTTTCTGTCTGTCATCTGAATTGCTGCTTAACAGATAGTAATGAACACTGAATACATTTTTTCTGGGTTAGTGCTTCCACTTGGCCACATGTCTCAAACTCTCTATTAATCTCATAATGAAGTTTACAGCTGGCAGGTTTGACTAATTCTCTTCTTGGATATGTCACGTGGCACCTGCATCATTGGGAATTTATGATAATATTCAAATACACAGCCTATCTGTTTGTTTCTCAGGCCATAATATACCTCTTCTTTTTTGCATGTGTGCACTGTTAGAATTTTTTTAAAACATAAATATTTTAAGATATCTGATGCAAATTACTGCCTGTAATTTGCAGGCAGTCAGCAGTTTCCTTTGCCTCTGCTTTTCTGCCTCTCACTTTATTCACCCTGTCCAACTTTTGCTTTCTGCGTGTAAAACCCTCTCCACCTTTGAAGGAGAGCCCTTTTCTCTGCAACAGGTTGTGTAAACCGTTCTTTATCTCTGAGCCTAGCAAGACCACTAAAGAGAATGTAATTTTTTCATAGCTTGCTTATAGTAGCTTAACTATATTCTATAAAGTATAGTAGCTTAACTATACTCTCTCTATATATAGTAGCTTAACTATACTCTCTATATATCATCCATTATAGTAATCATTAATTAAGCTCAGAAGCTCCTTTGGAGTCTGATTGTAAGATGCTGTATAAAATAAAATTTAACAATCCTGAATCTCATTGTTTCATTTGTTAATGCTACTCATAGTGAACTATCAAACATGACTTTCTCTTTTTAAACCCGTGCTTGTTAATGTTTCCTGTACAGTAGACCCCCAGTTATGAAAATAAGTCTAAAATGAAAAAAATTTTCTCATAAAATGATGAAACTCTGAATTGATGAACTTGAAATTGGTGAAAAATTGTTATTTGGTAAGCTAAGCTGAACTTCAATGATTTAAAGTACATGAGAAACCAGGTGGAGGAAAAGAAGGATCTAGATTTGCATAAAGAAAGGATCAGCCTTGTTAGGAAAGGCAAGTAGTTGGGACTCAGAATAACTGAATAGGCTTAATAAAAGCTACTTTAATTGATGGAATAAATATATATTAGTGTGTGCTGAAGTCTACAAGGAAAAATCTGTTAAGGAGGATATGTAGAATGATCTGTATTCATCATAATTGTATGTCATGGAAGTTTTAAAAAAACTAGCTAAAGTGCCAAAATGATCTAAAGCTCTCATACGAGGCAATAATATGTTATCGACTTTCTTGGAGACCAGTTCAGAGGTAAGCTGGATACAATGACTTTTGAATATTTTCATCGCTAATCCTGATATGCCACCTGATACTACCTTTCTGCTACTATCTGTATCATTTATGGAAGATTTACTACCCGTATTTACAGTGCTAAAAGACTCCTGGCCAGTTTTTTCAAAAGCCGTATGAAAACTGCATTATGTGGAACAGTTAAACTGTAGTAGCTTTTTGAAAGTCATGAATATTTTACTTATCAGGAAATATCTACAGATTAACAAAATGTTATTCATTTGTCCACGCACAACCTTGCATAAGTATTTCTGCTTTTTTTTTTCCTTCCAGGGCATAATATAGAACTATGATAGCAACTGGAGGAGTCATAACAGGACTGGCTGCCTTAAAAAGGCAAGACTCTGCCAGATCTCAGCAACATGTAAATCTTGCCACGTCACCAGCTCCTGAGGAGAAGAAACCGGTTAGACGCCGGCCAAGAGCAGATGTAGTTATTGTCAGAGGCAAAATCCGACTTTATTCCCCATCAGGGTTCTTCCTTGTTTTGGGAGTGCTTATTGCCTTCTTGGGAATTGCAATGGCCATTCTTGGATACTGGCCCCAAAAGGAACAACTTTTAGGATCTGAAGATAATCTATCAATAAATGAAACCCAGGTCCTAAGAAGCCAAGGAAGTATTTTACTTCGTTTCTTTGAACAGCATGTGCACTCAGATAAGATGAAAATGTTGGGTCCTTTTACTATGGGAATTGGAATCTTCATTTTTATTTGCGCGAATGCCATTCTACATGAAAACCGTGACAAGGAAACAAAAATCATACACATGAGAGACATATACTCCACTGTAATAGACATCCACACCCTGAGAATCAAGGAACAGAAGCAGCTGAGTGGTGACTTCACTGGCTTGTTGGGGGAAGGAGAACTCAGGCCCAGTGGGAGCTCATGTGCGTCACGGCTGGCAGCAAACACAATTGCACCTTTCTCGGGCTTCAGGCGTAATTTTAGAATGAATAGTTCTGCCGAAGAAAATGAGATTACCCTAAATGAAGACAGGACCACCGCGAGCCTTCTACCACCTTTGCTGACTGAGCGGTCTGGTTCCGTCTTTGGACTTTACCCTCACTCCAGCAAGGCTTCAGATGACAAAAACACTAGCTCTATAAAGTGTGAAACAAAATCCATTGTATCATCTTCCATTAGCGCTTTCACATTGCCAGTAATTAAACTGAATAACTGTGTTATTGATGAACCCGGTATAGATAACATAACTGAGGACTCAGAGATCACTAGAAGTCGATCTAGAAATCTGTCAATGGATTCTCTAGCCATTCCATTGTCTGATACCAACGAATCCTACAAACCACTCACCACCATGCTACCACGACACAATTCATTTGTGGACGCTCCGTCTGATCAGTTCAAATCTTCTATGACTCTTGGACCAAGCACAGGAAAGCTTTTATCACCCGGTGCTGCCAGAAAACAGTTTGGGTCCAATACATCTTTACATCTTCTGTCTTCGCATTCGAAGTCACTGGACCTGGACAGGGGTCCATCCACACTCACTGTCCAAGCTGAACAAAGGAAACATCCCAGCTGGCCCAGACTGGATCGAAGTAACAGTAAAGGATACATGAAACTAGAAAACAAAGAGGACCCAATGGATAGGTTACTTGTGCCACAAGCAGCGGTCAAAAAAGACTTTACTAATAAGGAAAAGCTTCTTATGATATCAAGATCTCATAATAATTTGAGTTTTGAACATGATGAGTTTTTGAGTAACAACCTAAAGCGGGGAACTTCTGAAACAAGGTTTTAATATTTAAATTACAATTTACAAGACATCATAGTGTATTTTTAAAAAAAAAAACATTTTGACAAGTGTTTCTTTTTCGGTGAAACTAGTACAAGCCTGATTTTAACTAAATGCTTAATAGCCCATTAAAATTGGCTTGTGTGAACAGTGGTGAACATTACCTTTGTAATGCCGAGAGTCTTTTGTCTTAGTAACATACAGCTACAATACTGTACATTATCATTGTTCAGAGAATTTTGGTACCACTGATTCCATTTTTTTCCAAGTCATTATTCTTTCTGTTCTATATAAGCATGTTACTTTTTCTCATTTGGGTTCCAGAAGCCTGCATTAGAATACACGCTCTGTTTACCTGTAAGTTCTGTTTATTCAATGATTGCAAGATTCTGAAAACAGTGCTTGCAGTCTAGAACGGAAAGTGAGCAGGAGTACCTACTGGAATTGTCAAATTCTGGTCCATCTCCTAGCTGTTATCTTTTACCTATGATACATCTTGCTAACTAACGGATCTCAAACTTGCCATTATCATTGTGAGAAACTTGTTTACATGTTGGGGTGGGTGGATAGAAAAGAGTGGGCATAATTAAAACCATTTTTGTGAATTCATTGTAATTGGTCAAGTTGAATACCAGTGTTGTGAATTATTAAGTATGCCTTGTGTGATAATCTTTCTACACCCATTATAATTTAATATTGTAATTCCAAGAAATCATATATAAAGTAATCATGGATAAGAAATCTGAAAGTTCTTCTGGGATTAGTTATCTAAAGCATTTTGATTGGCAGCAATTTTAAAATCAAAATATGCAGATTCAATTAAAATCATAGGCACAAGATGAATGTCAACATGATTTTAGAAACATGATGAATAGTAAAATGATATTATGACATGAATCTGAAGAGAATAATGGGAAATGAATATATTGCCTCTTACTACAATAGCCAGAAGTTATAAAATCAAATCTCTATGTTTGAAATAATGAAACAAAGCATATGATTCAATATTTATACTAACATAGTATGAAAGCCCCTTGCCTAAATTTTGACTTAGATATTTCATGTAATTATTAGCGTGATGGCTTACTGGAAGCTTAGCTATGGTAATTTGCATTACAAGACTTTGTAAAATGAAGTGACATTTAACACAGTGTTTTTCTCAGCGAAGCAAGCTTTGCAGTTGGCAGTGGCAGGGTATTGCTGAAGAAAATAAGAATATGAATGCGGGTACCAAAAAGCTTTCCTGTATTTCATTAAGGCATTTAGGCCGTGATCCTGCCATGACAGCCAGGCTGGAGAATATCACTTCTAGTTGCATGGCTCACCTACCAGGATATTGGTCTTAATTGGTCATCTTTGATGTTGTCACTTAACCTAAATACTCAGGAATTATTTTAATAGCTTTTCCCAAAAAGAATCAAACATGTTAGAATGTTACTGTACTTCAGTTGATCATGAAAGATCAAAGATAAAAATACCCTCTCTGTTTTTTTTTTAAATATTTTCAGCTCCACATTTCAACTCCGTGATGTTTGTGTGTCAGGAGCATTACCTGCTCAGTGAATTGAGACGTAGTGTTACTTGTTAGACCCTCAAGCCTATATATTGTAACAGAGTTGGCTAAATATTTTGCTATGAAGCTTTTAATAACTTTTTGGTTTGTGTTCTTAAGACATTTGCTATTTTTTGAAATAAAAACAAAGTATATCTATATATCTTTTATTAGTCATGTTTTTCCTCTACAGTCTCAAATCCGCCATATGAAAGCATAATTGGGTTTCGTAACACTGCGTTTTTACATTTAACATTATGTTTAACGTATTAACTTGCCACTAGATATTTGGTTATGATTAGTAGGTTTCAATGACATTGATATAGATGTAAAGGCTGAATTTAACATAGCTCTAATATTAAATTTTTTGTATGTAATATGAAATGTGTTCAAAAATGGTTTTGATATACAGAAACCTGCCATGCTGTTCTTGTTAGTTGACAGTAAGTATGTTTACAAAAATGGAAAAAACAATTAAAAGAATGAATGATATTAGTTTTTCTTTCTTGAATAGCTTTTTAGGAGTCTTTCTCTGACGTTTTCCAGAAATCTCTACCTTTTGTCTTACCTTTTTTTGTAAATTTGCCTACTAAATGTGACAACATGCTGAACAGGTAGAAATCTTTTAGAAAGACTATGTGCCTGTATGTATGAGAGTGCTTATTATAAAGTAGGAGTGCTTCAAGTAGTATAATTTAGCTATTCGAGGGCAAGTTCATGCCCTTTGTTTAAACTATTTCAATTAAACTCAGAATCAAATTAATTCCAGTTATCACAGCTGTCACATGTTTAACTTTCAGTTCACATTTATTAACTCTTTCATCAATGTTCTATATATGGCAGTGTTGAGTTATTTTGTATTATTTCAGGACTCAGTATTTCAAATTATCCTCAGTGGAATACTTTATGCACTCAGTACAGCCCAAATTTTATTAGTATTACTTATCTGAGTGACAGCTGGCAGAACTGCAATCTTAAGTCTGGTAAAGAATGGAACTCTGACAGTTACACTACTCTTTATTTTGGAATAGTTTGTGGAAATTGAAATATGAGAATCCACTATGTTATATCAAAAGCAGTATATCTAATCTGTTGTCTTGGTTCTAATTCTGGCGGATAATGCCAGAATCACTGTAAGTTTTCGATAAGGAAGAACTATAAAAACATTGTTGTCAGTTTTTGTTCTGACAAGTGTAATTATTTATGATGGCATTCGTAAGAACATCTAATCTATTTCTGAATCCCACTAAGCCCTTCGTTTTACTAATATTGTTTTTGTAAAAAAACTACAATTTAATTATGAATTGTCAATAAATATGCTTCCCGTATCAGTTTGAAACTTTTATTAGCACTTCATTTTCATTGCAATAGCCAGTTGTTCTGCTATTTAAAAAAAAGGGTACCAGGATTAACCTGATATCTACTGTAAATATATGGATATTTCTGGGGGCTTGGGTTTTGTATTTTTAAATTCACACATCACATTGGAGCCCATTTCCCAAGGTATATTCCTCTGGAAGAAATCCCATGTGTGCTGTGAGACTGCTCTGTGATGTGGACCAATGTGTGGAACGTGGGGACAGAAGTAAACTAGTGACTTGGAAAGACCTGCTAACTTACCTGCACCCTTAGTGTCCTCTGAGAATCACATTAGCACAAATGAACATTTTTGTTCATTAATAAATGTAACATGATTAGCTCTATGGCAGAGCCTTGAAGAACTCCACTAATTACCTCCCTGAAGCCTGATACACCCCCTTCCAGCTCAGCTCGTCACGTCCCCATTTCACGGTTAATACTCAGCTCATTTTTTCTCCGAATTCTCTTCTTCTCCAGCTTAGCTAATAATTTCACATGTACATAGCACATAGCACATAGCAAGTGCTTTGTTGAAGTCATAGTAGAGATCTACTGCATATTATGTCTAGAAAATTATTATTTCAAAAAGAGACATAAATCCTGTGCAGTATGATCTGTCTTTGGGAAAGCTACACTGCGTTTTATCCTATTTCCCATTTTCATTCTTGTCTTCAGTTCCTTGCAAATTTTTTCTGAATCCTTCCATACTGCCTGGATCATACTAGCAGACCTGTAAGTGGCCAGATTACTCCTCCCTTCCTTCCCTCTCCCATTTCATAAATACATATGGCTTCCCTCTTTCTGTCAGCTCTGTAGATTTACTGAAATTCCTTGCTGCAATGTCCATTTCATGCACCAATTTTTGCAGGATGCTGTAATGGAGATTATGATGTGGCTCACTGCTGTGAGAGCATTCAGGGCTTGAATTTAGCTTTCTCACAGGTGAGGATTTACACATCTTTCATTTCCATGCTCTCTTTCCTCCATTTTCCACACTTTTCTACCTCCTATTTCCAGATTTCTTTTCCTACTAGCCATTTTGCCCCTCCTTCTCCCTCTCCCTTCCTCCCCCTGATTCCCCTGGACATTTCTAATGTAATTATCCTAGCTGAAAAATGAGGCAAAGTGTTCGTACAGGCTATATCTGGAATACAGCTCTCAATTTCTATGTTCTTGGAAGGATTTGTTTTGTTTTTAAGTACATTAAAGTGTGGCTGGACAGGAGAGGTAATAGTCCCGAGTGTATTCCCCCACACAGTGCCTGCTCTGTTGCATCTCTTTACCCAGTTTGTTTCCTTGCTTGTTGTGTTTCTTTTGGTTTTGCTTTAGTGAGGTTGTCATTAATCCGGCTAGGTCTGGAATTGTCCTCAAAGGCTTCCCATACTTGAAATGCCTGTTTGGATGCTGTTGATTTAAAAAACATCAGCCTTACTTGGAGTCAAATCCCCAACCTTCCTGTCTTGCTGATTTCATTAACTAGTTTCCTTCCATTATCAAAACTTACTCTCCTGAAATCAACACCTTACTTGAAGTCCCACGGTAATTTATCCTTTTATTTAAAGTTAACTGGATCAGCTCATAAGGATTTGAGTTTCTAGGAGCATCCTGTCTGTGGTACACTCAGTGCTTACCAAAAGCTAGTCAGTGTTTGCTTCAGTGATTGCTTGTGGCAGACATCTGTTGGCTAATCTCGCTAGGGATATCTCTGCTCAATTGCCACAAGCACCATTTGTTCACAGTCTTTCTTTTTGAGAAATTAAGTTTTCTATAAGGCAAAGGTAAAAATTCAAGGCAAAGACAGTGTTTATATGAAGACAATATTTATCTTTCTGGTAGTAATGATCAATATACCTCTACTTTTTAATTCAATCCTCATATGGAAAAATATTCCTATGATGTCTTCTAATTACTTATTTTGACTTTCTGGAGACCTTAAGTATTTATGCAATGAATTTCTGAAAACAGTGTGTCAAAACTGAATATCCAAGGTGAGAGCATAACTTTAGGTTATATAAAGGAATATACTGTTTTCAGTGTTATTCTTTATAATTTCCTTAGTACAGTACATAAAATTTCATTTTTAGTGCAACTGTGGTACATGTATTTCTACTGAACTGCCCTCACTGAGATATGGTTTACTTTTCCGTGTAAGCACAGTTAGTTCGGAAATGATCACAATACAGAAGCGCTTCACATAACTCCCTCCAGTGTGCATTTCTTTGCTCCTTTCAGAAATAGTTATCATTTGGACACGCTCTATTCCACTTCAAAGCAGTTGTGTTTATTTTTGTTACTGTCTTATTATAGTCACAAGTTTTTCAAGGGTTTCAATACCATCAATACCATCAAACAAAAACACATGAATGAAAGAGTACAGAGAAGATCAGCTATTGTATTACACAGAGGGTGTAATAAAATTAAACTCATCTTGCTCCTACAGAGATTTCATTATCATTTTAACAGACAGGAAGCGCTCAGATATGTGGTGTGAGCATATTACATTATCTCCAACAAACAAGTGTTCTTTATTACCTCTTTATGGGGACTAGGAAAAGCATTAGATATATAACTTAATTAAAACACAGTACTCTTTGAACCTTGTGTAGAAGAATCAGGTGAACACAATAGCTTAGGAGAGGTTAGGAATTAATAAAATGTACATTGGATTCTCATTAAACTGCACTTCTAAAATCTGTATGCGTTATAACTAACACAGAAATGGAGGGTGCTTATTGCCACAGAAAACAGCCCTAGTCATTCTTCTAAGGAAGAAAATATACTTGTTTCTTGTCCAGTGACTTTTTGAATGAATATTTGTATACTTCAGAATACTGATACCTATCTCGCTGTTATCTAGACTGGCAGTTCTGCAAAGTTTTCATTCCTTACCTTTACGCATTTACTTTATTTTAGTCAACATTTTTCTTTCATGGGTAGAACAGGTTAGGCCATTTCTCAAAGTCACTAAGAACTCTGCGAATTTTATGTCCATATCTACTCTGCTTTACAGTGATGCTTTGTCTCTGGTCTCCTGTTTGGTTTAAATCTTGTATGCCAACATAAGGGACAGATTCTCACTCCCTTCCTTCTTCCATCCCTTCCTACTTGGTTGTTAAGCAGATGTGGTCAGGCGGATCAGGAACGTAATCGACTGAAAACACACTCAGCAAAAACAGCTCCCGCAGCTACAACAGTGACTCTGAGATATATACATGTTAGTTTTCAGCTGGATCAGACTGCTGATCTACTTCAGAGCATATCTGTGTAAGTGCAGGGAAGAGCCAGACTATTCTGGCAGTAGATTAGTTTAAGCTCATTGTGAAACTCCCCCCCCCCCCCCCATAATGTCTTCGTGACTGAGATGAATTATGATTTTGGATGGCACTATGGTCTAATGGTTTCTAGAGAAACATAACAGACTGTCTGTGGTTTCTAATATCTGTTCTGGAATTGTCTTCCTCTGAGTCTGTGGAATACCTTTGTATAATTTTCTATCTGTATTTACTCTTGTCATACTTCAAACATCCAGTTTCTTGGTGAATATCTATGAATGACTGCAACATCTGTAGAAATCAAAATGCATTCCTGAAAAGAGAAAAGGGTGATAAATTTACTCGATATTTATTATTGGTGAATCATTTATTCAGCATCACTTCTAACTCGAAAGATAGGCATGGGTGCTTCTTATGGCTGTGTGTCTACAATGGTCAGTAACTTTTCCCTCTGAGACCTCTAGAGCTTAATTAGTTAATATTAAAAGTAGCTTTCCAAACCTAAGGTAGATGGAGAAAAATGTATCC